CTGCTCGCAAACACCCCTGAGAACCGAGGGAGGGAGGGAGGCAGACGGGGTTCTGGGGCCGTGCAAGCCGGAGAAAAGGGGCAGCTGGTTAGCTTGCGGGGCCCGTCCCCTCGCGGCCTTCGACTCGGCCACAAAGCCAGCCCTTGGCAGCACTCGGATGCGCCAGCACCCCTGGCCCCTGTTCTAACGGGCTGGATGTTGAAGGTCCCTCCGCGAGCAGCCCAGGGGAGGGGCGGAGGGACTCGGGAGAGGGACGTGGCCCCTCTGGTGGACACCTCCGGGCGTCGCGGGAAGTCCTGACAAAGCTGCAGCACGGCCGAGACGACCAGCGGCAAGAGTCCTGCCAGGGCCGTGGCGACCGTCAACGTCGGTGACGCCCGGGCCAGGCCCTATCCCCGCATTGTGATCCGCCTCTGTCCTCCTCCTGCCGGGGATGGGTAGCAGGCTCGGCCCCCGGCCAACACGCCCATCCCGGGCCTCCTGCCCCCTCCTCGCACCCGTCTGTCTGTGCCTTGGGACAGGGACACACGGGGCAGCACCTGGAGGGAGGGGCGTGGCCTGGCCTGGACCAAGGCTGCCTGCCGGTTGCAGCCCAAGCCCAGAGCAAGAGCGGCCGAGGGGGCCTCCCAACGGCGTCCTGCGAAACGTCACCGCTGGGGGACCACAGCGAGGAAAGGAGGCGGTTTCCGCACCCTCAGAGTTCATCCAAGGAGGATGCAAGCGTCTCCCCCATCCCCCCCCCACCTCCACACCCACCCAAGCTGGTGCCAGCCCCACACCCCTTGGTACGAGCACCCCTGAAGAGCGCTGCCTGCTGACGCCGTTCTCAAGAGACTGCGCTGGCCACGCGGCGCTGGGCGCGTGAGCGGGGGGAGGGGGGGTGAGGGCCACAGAGCAGGGCGGGTCCTGGGCCGAGAGGTGCCACCTCCCTGCTGCGGGCACAGCATCTGGCCGGGGAGACGGGGCAGGAGGCGGGCACGCCCTCGACCCCAACTTGGCCAGAGCCACTCGCTCGGATGCAAAAGGCAGCCTGGCGCGGAGTCCTCGGGGGGGGACCCCCAAACTCTCCCGGCATCGCAGACCAGGGACCCCTCAGACCCCTCCGGACGGGAATGGAGAGACGCTTCCTTGCGGAGTCCGCAAAGGAGTTTCCCACCGCACAGACAAGATCTCGGTCCTGAAATGACAGCCCAAAGGCGCCGGGTCCTTTAACTTCCTCCCTCGCCGACGTGCCCACCCGCGGGCTCTCTAGAAGGAAGGAGCCTTTGCCCACTCCTCTGCGGGGTTCTGCCTGAATCGTGCCACTGAGTTTTGACACGGCTACAGAGCAACGGGAAAGGGAGGAGGAGGCGGCCTTCAAGCCTCTCCCTCCCTCCCAAACACAGCCACACACACACACACACACACACACACACACACACACACACACTCAGACGCTCAGACTGGCCTCTCACCCGGGACGGCAGGTCAACCGCTGACTCCACCCAAGATCGGCCTGAAGGACCAAACCGTGGGGTGGAAAAGCTCCCCCGCGCCGCGCACCCTCTCCGGAAAGCAGAGCGAAGAGAAAGCTGGAAGGGAAGGAGGGAAAAGAAAGCACCACATTCCTGACATTTTTCAGCCAAGAGCTGCGGCTGCACAGAACAGCTCCGCGCCAGACGGCCGGCAGGCAGGACGGGGAGGAAACCCCGGGTGCAGGGGGCAAGGACGGGGCCCCTGCTTCGGAAGAGGAGAAGGCATCGGGGGGCGGCCCCCACCTCACCTCTGGGGGGCATGGGGGGGCCCCTCTCGTCTGTGGAAGGAAGTGCCCACCTCCCAGGGGACGGGAATGAAGTCCTGGGCCCAAGGCAGGAGAGCCGCTCTCAAGTCGGGGAGTGGGACGCGGGGCCAGGCGGGGAAGAGCCCCGGGAGGACGGGAGGACGTGGGGCCGGTCCCTACGGGGGACCCCAGTAGGGGGGAGCCGGGGGAGCCGCTCCTTGTGGCAAGAAATCAGAACCTGAGTTCTCCCGCCTCAGTTTCTGAATGAAGAACTCCCAGCCCCGTCCCAGCGAGAAGCCCTGGAGGTCCGACGACGTCGTCTCCCTGTCTACCCCCCCCTCACCCCACCCCACCGCCTTCTCTCCTCAAGTCGAGGGAAAAAAGTCTGCGGGAGGCAGCTGCACCCCAGGCCCCCCTGCCCAGGCCCCACGACGCAGACCAGCCCCCCGACCTCGCTGTCATCACAGTGTCCCGCACCAGCTCCGCTCCACGCGCGAAGGTGTCCGTGTGTGTTTCTCTGGGGTTCCCTAGGAGGAACGGGCCAATCCTGCTGCTCTCTGGCAGGGAGGACTGAGTTCCCAGGTCACCCCCCCGGCCCCCCAAACACACCTGTCTCCCTCCATCGCAGCCGGGGGTGGGGTGGGGTGGGGGTGGGGTCAGAGCGGAGGAGGCCGTGCCTGGCACCGCAGGACACACACCCTCATGACACCGCAACGTCAAGGAGTGGCCCTCAGGCTCCCAGACCACCAGAGCAGCACACCCCCCACCACATACACACACACACACACACACAGTGCTCCCTGGAGGTACCTTTGAAGAAATGAGACCACTTGCAAGCGTGCCCAGAAACTGCCATCGCAGTTCGAGGTCCTGGAGGAGAAAGGAGGGGAGCAGGAGCCTGCCGGACCGTCCCACCCATCCCGGGCCAATCCCGAGGAGGGGAGAAGAAAAAGTCAGTTTGGCTTTTCTGTTGCTATGGCCGCTCTGTCCCCTCACCTGGGGCCTTTCTCTTCGGTCAGGACCTGGCAGGAAGGCTCCTGGCCCTCTTCTTTTCCTTTTGCTTTTTGGGGTCACACCCGGCGATGCTCAGGGCTTCCTCCTGGCTCATGCACTCAGGAATTGCTCCTGACAAATGCTCGGGGGACCCAATGGGATGCTGGGAATCGAACCCGGGTCGGCCGCGTGCAAGGCCAACACGCCCTCCCCGCTGTGCTGTCACTCCGGCCCCTCCGGCCCTTTTCAATGCCCGCAGCCCAACAAGGCCCGTTGAAAGCACGGGACCTCCCGGCAGAGGAGAGGTTCCCCACCTCGCAGGAGACAGCAGCGAAGTCCCGGGGTCCACGGAGGAGAGCAGCTCTAAAGCTGGGGAGCTGGCGAGGGGCCAGGCAGGGCAGGAAGGACCAAGCGCCAGCCCCAGGACGCCCTTTCCGAGGAACAGAGAACAGCAGGTCGGGTCGCCGACCCCCCAGAAAGGCCGCGCACACACGGGGACAACAGAGCCATCGGGCTTTGCAAGAGAGCCAGCAGCGGCGGCACAGCATGTGGCTACCAGGTCTAGGACCGGGCACTTGGTCACGTGGGTCCTTCCAACCACACCCTCCAAGGCGGGTGACACAGCACTGGAGCAGGGCGCGAGGTCTCGAGGAACGGAGCAAACAGACTCCGAGGCCACGGGCTGCGCGAACTCATTCTGCCCTTCCCTGGCCTCACAGTTACTCTTTCCCCAGAAACTGACGGTGTTTCAGAGCCATGGGGCTTGGGATTCACCGTGAAACCCTGTGAGCACCCCACCCCCGGGGGGAGGAAGCATCTAACCACTGGGAGGAAGACCCCCAAAAAGGACTAGGACATAGGAGCAGGACCAGGACTGGCGGGGAAAAAAAAAAAGTCCTTTCCAATAATTCCTGGGAGTTTAGGGGGAAGGAGGCAGGGAGGTTGGAAGGCCAGAACCAGGGAATGCCACCAAAGCATGGCAAGGCCGACTCCAAGACGGGGCTCCCATTTATTTTCCCGCCACCCTGCAGATCCCAGCCAGCAGCGGGCAGCCTCCCGGACCCTGGAGACCGCCGGGACCAGGAGCCCGAACCCTGAAGACCACGGGAGGAGACTCATCTGGGAGTCTCTGAGGCTGGGTCAGGGCTTCCTCCGACCGGCATCCCTGAGAACACAGTTAAAGGAAGGCGACGTGGCAGGGAAGACCAGGAGCACCCGGAGGAGACTGGCACCCGGACGGGGGACACTATCTCGCTCCTGAAGACAAGATCTGCTGCGGAGCACTGGGGCGATGGCACCGAGGGCAGCACACTCACTTGCCTTGCATGGGCTGGCGGGGGGCCGGGTGCCAGGCATCCCTCTGGGTCCAGGGCATCCGGGGTGGGGGTCCCCATCCCTGAGAGCAGGGCAGGAGCAAAGCCCCGAGCACCCCGGGGTGTGGCCCAAAGTGCACACAGAAAAAAGAAAAGAAACAGAACCCGGTGGCCAGCCCCGGGGCTCAGGTGGCCCGGTTTGCTCTTCCCACCCAGGGGAGACTGTCCTGGGGGTCCGGGTGGGCTTCGGGACCCTCACCCCGGGGGCGGACTTCCAACGCCAGCACCTAAGAAACCCCTCCCGGGAAATCCCTCTCCCCGGGGCGCCTAACGGTCCTGGAGCTCTGGAGCTCGGACCCACCGCGCCTCGGCCCCCGACGCCCCCTGCCCCGGACTGAGACCCCCCTGGGGGGGGCGGGAGGCACCCTTGGGCCGGACGTGGGGAGAAGGCGGGACGGGCAGGGCGCGGGGGCGCGGCGGGCCTGGGACCCTGGTCTCTCGGGGACGGACGGAGATCGGGGGTGGTGGGGGGCGCGGCCGGGACCCCCCCCCGCCCCGGGCAAGGGACCGGGACCCCCGCCCCCACCCCCCCACGCACCCGGGCCCGCCTGCGGGCGGAGAGCGCGGGAGGGGACCGGGACCCCCGCCCCGGCGGGGCGGAGAGCGGGCCGGGGGCGCCCGTCGGAGGGGCTCGGGACCGGGGAGGTCGCGGCTCGGCCGCGGGGGGCCCGGAGCCCGCGGGGAGGGGGCCGCGGGGGCTCGGGGCGCCGCGGGTTCGAGGCGGGCTCGGGGCGCCCGGGGGCGGGCGGAGGGGCGCCGCGGGCACCCGGGGGCGGGCGGGCGGACCGGGGGGCCCCGGCGACCGGGGCCGGGGCGGCGGGGGGCGCGGCGCGGGCGGCCGGGACCCCCGCGGCAGGGACCCCCGCGCCGCTCACCTCGAACATGAGCCCGACGAGGACGCAGAGCACCAGGCAGAAGCAGATGTCGGCGTGGTAGTGCAGCGCGAACTCCTGGCTGAAGAGCGGGTAACTTCGCGCCCGCCTGCGGAACGCCATGGCCGGCCGGCCCGCGCCCCCCGCCCGCGCGCCCGCAACGCCGCCCGCAACTTCTGGGCCCGCCCGGACCGCCCGGACCGCCCGCCCGCCCGCCCGCGCGCCGCCCGCCCCGCCCCCGCGCTCAGCCCCCGCGCCGCCGGCGACGGCGGGGGCGGGGCCTGGGAGGGGCGGGGCCTGGGAGGGGCGGGGCCTGGGGGAGGGGCGGGGCCGGCGACGGCGGCGGCGGAGGCGGGGCGGGGGCGGGGGCGGCTCCGACGGCGGCGCGGCTGCGGCTCTGCGACCTCAGGGCGGGGAACGGGGGTCCGAGGCGGGAGCGGCGCTCGCGGCGACTCGCGGCTCGGCCACGGAGGCGGCGGGGGCGGGGCCGAGGGCGGGGCTTGGGGCTCCGGCCACGGCTACGACTGGGGGCGGGGCCTGCGGCGGGGGCGGAGCTTGGGGCTCCGGCCACGGCTACGACTAGGGGCGGGGCCTGCGGCGGGGGCGGGGCTTGGGGCTCCGGCCACGGCTACGACTGGGGGCGGGGCCTGCGGCGGGGGCGGGGCCGGCTTCGGCTTTCGCTCGGCGGGGCGGGGGCGGGGCCAGGGGGCGGGGCTTGGGGGCCGGCTCCGGCCACGGCTACGATGGGAGGCGGGGCTTGCGGCGGGGGCGGGGCCGGCTGCGGCTTTCGCGCGGCTGGGGGGCGGGGCTTGGGGGCCGGCTCCCGCGACGGCTCCGGCCACGGCTACGACTGGGGGCGGGGCCTGCGGCGGGGGCGGGGCCGGCTGCGGCTTACGCTCGGAGGGGGCGGGGCCGGGGGCGGGGCTGACTCCAGCCGCCGCCGCAGCTGCGGCTCTGCGAGCACGGGGGAGGGGTCCAGGGCGGGAGCAGCTCCAGCTGCGACTCGGAGGGGGCGGGGCCTGGGGCGGGGGGCGGGGCCGGCTCCGGCCACGGCTACGGTTGGGGGCGGGGCCGGCCGCGGCTTTCGCTCGGCGGGGGCGGGGCCTGGGCGGGGCCGGGGGCGGGGCTGACTCCGGCCGCGGCGCCCGCTAGCCCGCGGCGCGGGGACCCGGACAGGAAGTGGGCCCGGGTGGGCCCACGCTGGACGCCCGCTGCGCCCTGGGCGGGACTGGAGGGGGCGGCGCCCAGAGCCGGGGGAGGTGGGGGGCTGCAGGTGACGTGTGCCAGCCCCGCGGGGGCCGGCCGGGAGCGGCGATCGGGGGCTGCCCGGCTCGCGACGGGGTTGCAGCGAGCTCGCCCGGGCTGGGCGTGGTTCCGAGCCGCGGGGAGACCCCCAGGGAGCACTAGCCCGGGGCGCCTGGCGGGGGGCGGGAACCGAGCCCTGCGGGGCTGGGCCGGCAGAACTCAGCCCTGCGCGCGGCTCGGTCCAAGCCGGCCCGCTGCATCGGCCTGCAGAGGGGAAGGTACTGGCACCGGAGGGGGGGGCAGCCGCCCTCGCTGAAAGTTTCAGTTTCCTCCTGAATTGTGCGAGCTCTCTCCTGGGGCCCGAGAGAGTCCAGCGGGCCCGACGCTTCCCTTCCTTCCACGTGGCCCACCCGGCTGCCGGCCCCAGGGTCCCATGGGGGTCCCCAAGGGATCCCTGAGCGCACAGAAAATAAAAAAGTTTCATCTTATTTCCTACTGGTCATGAAGGAGGCAGCTAGGGATCATTTTCAAGAAATGCAAAAATACGAAACAAAGCACTGTCCCAAGTCCCAGTCCCTTCGTTAGGTACACACACACACACACACACACACACACACACACACACACGCCTGCTTCAAAATGCTTGGTCAAGAAAGAGTTGCAGTGAAGCTTGACCAAATTCTGGGCTTATCTGGAATGCCTAGCTAGATTTCTTATCTATTGCTCAACCCTTTTGGTGGTTACTAACAGTCTTTGGTCTTTGATTCCTGTACTGGACTCAAGAAGTGGGAAAGTGAATACCTCCGTTGGACTAAGTGTCATCTCGCTTCAAGTCTAACCTTTTCCAAAAGACAGAACCTTAATCTTAGGAGGAGAAATGAAAGACCGAGAAGGTCTTAGTTTCCCATCTGTGAAATGGTCAAATGTTTATTATTATTATTAATATATATTTTTTTGCTTTTTGGGTCACACCTGGCGATGCACAGGGTTACTCCTGGCTCTGCACTCAGGAGTTACTCCTGGCAGTGCTCAGGGGACCCTATGGGATGCTGGGAATCGAACCCGGGTCGGCCGCGTGCAAGGCAAACGCCCTACCCGCTGTGCTATTGCTCCAGCCCCGTAATGGTCAAATTTTTAAACAGCAAAACACATTAGATGGAACCATATGGAACTGAACTTTGTGAGTCAAAATGGAAATACCAGCATTTCAAACGGCTAAGTCCAATGATTCCCTCTAGTCTCACTCGTCACCAGAGTGGGAGACTTACCTTTTAGTACTAAGCACTTAGTCTGCAAGTCCTGAAAGGTAGTAAAACCTCCACATTTATAAATGGGGAACCTAAAGTTAAAAAGATGGGGCTGGAGAGAGACTTACAGAGCATAGGATGTTTGCACACAGCCTACCAGAATTCAGTCTCCCTCAAAGACCCAGTAGGGATGATCCCTGGGTGCAAAGCCAGGGTAAGCCCGGAGTAGCACCCGGTATGGCCAGAAACCAAAAATAAAGTGTATTTAAATTTTAAATTAAAAAATTGGCTTCTCGTGTGACCAGACCATGTTGAGCTACCTCTCTGCCCCCCTACATCAGAGATTTTTTTTTAAAATCTTGGTACATAAATGAATGATCTTTTCATTGTAAATCATAAAAGTCCCTAACTCTGAATGCCCTGAAAACAAAAGGTATTAACTCATGTTATTTTAGAAAGAGTTGTTTTAATCTAGCTTGCTTAATATAGAAATTTCAAAGAGAAAAAAAAATTGGCTTCTACAGTTCATACAGTTGTGACCTGCTCTTTTCAAATATAATTGAACAACTAGAGGGTTCCTAGATGCATGGTTTGAAAGTCACATGAAACCCAAGGAGGAAGTACTAAATACCTACTTTAACCGTTAAAGTGATTACTTAAGTCCCAATTTTAAAACCATCTTTAACTCCAAATGAATCTCTGACCCCTCTCGTCCTGTGATGAGACACCTCTATACCAATTCTTTTATTTTTCTTTTATTTTTTTATAATTTTTTTTATAGTTTATTTCTTTATTGAATCACTGTGGGAAAAGTTACAGAGCTTTCGGGTTTAGGTCTTAGTCATGTAAGTATCAAACACATTTCCCTTTACCAATACTTATTTTTAACCGTGAACCCCAATAGAACCCCACCTCCCACCCCTCCCAGTTCCTGTGAGGCAGATGAGTTCTAGTTAATACTCTATCTACTTTGACTAGATAGATTGTTTCGCTAGAAGATGCACAATTATTGTTTAGAGTTTACGACCCCCCCCCAATCAGATATGCTGAAACAGCGTTGTGAAATGATTTGCTTTCTACAGCTGGGTTTAAGAATAAAATGATGTCGCGCGGCCGCAATAGCGGCCGCGCGGTTTTGAATTTCTGCTATTTTACTTACTAACCCTGGAAGAATTTCTATTAAAAAAAAGTTAGATAGTTAAGAGATTGGTTTCTGTGCTCTGGAGTCGTGGCCGTGACGGAGAGCCACTCGTGGGGGGCAGCCGGCGACCTTGGTCGGGCGTGGAGGACACCCAGAACGCCCCCCTTCCCATGAGGCCCCTGCCGCCCCCCGCCCCCGGCTCAAACCTGCTGTCCACAAGGCTCCCGTGCGGCCGCCATCTTTCTTTGCAGAGAGGAGCGGGCGAGCGGGACCTATTTTTCTTTTATTGAGATTCCATGGTTCACAATACCATTAATGATGGTTTCTCATACACACAATTCCAACACCACATCCATCACCACTATATCCACCTCCCTCTCCCACAGGCCCAACACCCCTCTTTTTCAAACCCTCCCCCACCAACTCAATTGTGTGAATCAGTTCTTCTTTCATGTTGCTACCCTGCTGTGAATCTTTAAATCCCACAAATCAGAAAGATTATTATGTCTCTGTCCCTTTCTTTCTGACTAGCTTCACTGAGTCTGATATCCTCAAGTTCCATCCATGTTGCTTCAAATTGCATGAACTACCCAAATGCCCAGATATGAGTGAATGGATCAATAAGTTGTGGTATACATATGCAGTGGAATACTATGCATCTCTAAAAAAGAACAAAGCCCTACCGATGCTTACTTCAGAATCTCCCAACAATGTCCAGCTCCCACCACAACAATCTTCTCAGACTCACTCTCAGCCCAGTAGAAACACCTGTTGAGTTTCTACTAAGTGCTAGAAAGTTAGTAGGGTCTCTACTTTGTCTCTAGAGAGAGAAGATATGAGAAATCCCTGTGTGGTAGTCTTATTTTTTGTTTATTTATTTGGTTGTTTATTTATTTATTTATTTGGTTGTTTATTTATTTGGTTGTTTATTTACTTGGTTGTTTATTATTTGTTTGTTTATTTGTTTATTTATTTGGTTGTTTATTTATTTGGGCTGGAGCGATAGCACAGCAGTAGGGCGTTTGCCTTGCACGCAGCCAACATGGTCGATCCGAGTTTGATTCCTCCGCCCCTCTCGGAGAGCCCGGCAAGCTACCGAGAGTATCTCGCCCGCACGGCAGAGTCTGGCAAGCTCCCCGTGGTGTCTTCGATATGCCAGACACAGTAACAACAAAGGCTCCAATGGAGACGTTCCTGGGCCCGCTCGAGCAAATCGACGAACAACGGGAGGGCCTTTACCTTTACCTTTATTTGGTTGTGGAGGCCATATCCTGCAATGCTTAAGTCTTACTCTGTGTTCAAGGAATCACTCCTGGTGGGGCTCAGAGGACCAGAAGATATGCTTGGGGATTGAACCCGCGTTCACCCCATTGAAGGCAAGCGCTCTATCCATTGTACTTCCTCTCCAGCCCCAATATGTGAAGGGTTGAAAACAGGTCTTTGATACTCTTCCATTCAAGGGGTGCCCCCATGGTGACTCGTAAGAGGAACTTAAAGTATATCAACTGTGAGAGTAAAGAAAA